CCATCTGCATTGGATTTGTGTGGCAAGGTTTTGGTAGCAGGAGTCTACAGGGGTGGCTTCTGTGAGAAGCTGCCAGAAGCTTACCCCATGCCCAAGAGAGCTAATGCCAGTGGCTCCAAGATGCACAACGGTCCAAGGCTGAGCCCATCAGTGATGGTAGTAGCACCTCCAGGATGACACAGTTAAGGAAGGAGGGGGTGGAACTGTGTGGCAGCAGCTGAAGAGAGGAGTGCAACACGTGAGAGCAAGAGCTCTGCAGACACCAAGGTCAGTGCAGAAGGAGAGAAGGTGCTCCAGGCACCAGAGCAGAGATTCCCCTGCAGCCCATGGTGACGCAAGCTGCACCCCTGCAGCAGATGGAGGTCCATGGTGGAGCAAATCTTCACCTGCAGCCCCTGGAGGACCCCACACCGGAACAGGGGGATGCCCGAAGGAGGCTGTGACCCTGTGGGAAGCCCGTGTTGGAGCAGGATCCTGGCAGGACCTGTGGCCACATGGAGAGAGGAGCACACACTGGCACAGGTTTGCTGCAGGACAGGTGACCCCACAGGGGACCCAGGCTGGAGCAGTCTGCTCCTGAAGAACTGTACCCCATGGAAGGGACCCACACTGGAACAGTCTGTGAAGAACTGCAGCTCATGGGAAGGACTCGTGCTGGAGAAGTTTATGGAGGACTGTATCCCATGAGAGGGACCCCATGCTGGAGCAGGGGATGAGTGTGAGGAGTCCTCCCAAGGAGGAAGGAGCAGCAGAGAAAGCATGTGATGAACTGCAACCCACATTCCCAGTGTCCCCCATGAAGCAGAGGGGGAGGGAAGAGAATTCATGAGTATAGTTGAGCCCAGGAACAAGGGAGGGGTGGGAAGAAGGTGTTTTAAGATTTAATTTTTATTTTCTCATTATCCTACTCTGATTTGGTTTGTAATAAATTTAACTAATTTCCCCAAGTCTAGTCTGGTTTGCCCATGGTGGTAACGGGTGAGTGATCTCTGTGTCCTTCTGTTGACCCTTTCATTGTACACTCTTTTCCCTTTGCAGCTGAGGAGCAGAATGATAGAGCAGCTTTGGTGAGCACCTGGTGTCCTGCCAGGGTCAACCCATCACACCATCTATAGCAAAATTTGTCACTCTCTTCTGTTAACCCACCAGTCACATGTAACTATGAAACTGTGGATTTGTTTTGTACTGTTACACAAAACAAGCTTTTATTATATACCATACTTATCTGATACACTTCCATGGCTTCCCATGTAAAACAACTGCATGCAAAGCAATAAAAACCTGTTAGCATCAGTCTTAGAAAGCTTGGGGTACTACAGATTTGTACTACCTCAACATTACTCAAGTATTACACCAGAAGGTGGTCCAGCAACAGGAACTTTTGTGTTTAGTTGGATTATTTCCTTGGTTTTCCCCAGTTTTGATTCTCTAGTGTCTACTGAAAGCTTCTTTAAGAAAAAGGCTATAGAAATTAGTTATCAGTGTCCTCTTCAAGACATTTTATTAAGACTCCGTGTTTTTCCTTTTAAAACTGGTACCTTGACCTAACTTGGAAGTTTTCTTATCCTCTGGGCCTGGGCCTTCTGCTCAGCCTCCCTCCCACATCTCCACAAAGGATGTGTTCTACCAAACTTCAGGCTTCCAGCACCTGCCTATACACCCCTCCCACTACCACAGCCAGCCTATGCTGTACTAGTTGCCCCGCAAAAAGACTCAATGAGAGTCACAAAGTAGCATATCTATTATCTTCTCACCTTCCTACATTGTTGGGGGGACATGGGGAAGATGCTTTTTAGAAGTACAAAAAAATCCTCTGAAAATTCATTCAATTTTCACCCGTCTGTCAAATTCGAAGTTATTCACAAGATTCAAAAAGCATTCAAGGGGCAAAAAGCCATTATAAATAAAGAGCTTCTCTGACAAATACCAAGGAACAGCACTGTCCAGAAGGAACATTTTCCTGGAGCTACATGACTTTGCAACACTGGAGAGAATTGGTGTAGTAAGTGCTTGAAAGTAAAAACCATTGGCTTATTTCTTGTGTATACTGCAAAGGCTTATTTTTTAATACTGGAAATACTTTTTAATAGTAGGAAAAAAGTTTACAGCATCAAATGCACACATCTATGTCAATGTGCTGTACCACGTTTTTATTTTACCTTACAGTAGCAGATTTTCTTTTCAAGGTGATTTGCAGGTGACTCCTGAGTTTGTACTACTGAAGCAAATAAAAATACCTCTTCTCTGTTCACAAGAGAGGTTTTCCAATTCTGGTTATATCTTTAAAGATCCAAAACTGTATCATCATTTTCTACTTGCCATTTGTAATGCACTACACAAAGCCATAAATCTAAAGCAAGTCATCTCTTGAACTTACAGATCACTCCCCTCCAGACACACACACTCATTTAAAGTCTGTGTTCCCAAGTAAACTGAGGACAGCAAACCAGGAGTAATTCTATATCTTCTGCAACAACTGCTTTGCAACATCTCTACTGTCACCTTTTAATTGAATTTGGGGAAAGTATTGGAAATCTAGAGCTCTCTGCTGAGACAAGGAAAGCTACTCCTCTCCCAGTGGGCTAGATGACAGCCTGCACATAGCAAAGAAGCAGGCTGAAGAGTACAGGGCCGCTAGTCAACCTGAGAGCCAGGCCATCTGCCAGCAGTCGGTCAAGATGAGGAACGCCAAATGCATTTTGAGCAGTTAGCTAGATTCTGGACTTCATTACAGTCCAAACATGCACTCCTAGCCCCACAAGTCATCAACAGTCTCCCTCAGATGGCAACACAAAGGGTGCACGTGGGCCAAAGGGAGAAGGTATTTTCCCAACTGTAACCTAAGCCATTTATTTACCATCAAATCGTTATTATGCATAAAGAAAATCAGATCTTGTTACTGGAGTTATTTCACCTTTCTGTAACTCTTTCCTCTCTTCCATTTCCTTCCCTGATCCTTCAAATTCTCACTAGCAGCAACACATCCTTCCCTCCAAGGCAACCAGCGATAGGAAATTTAACTCAAAACTAGCAGGATGGAAAAGGTCAGAACAATTCTCATGCGAGACTCCTGAAGACTCAAGCAGCATTATTTCTAGGTCTGCACCTCTGCAGCTGCAATATTTCAAAATATGACTTTGCACATTTTTGAGCCTCTAAGGGTTTAGGCAGATTCAAGCCCTGGACTACATGCACATATGGCAACCTAATCTATTCACAGCACAGGAACTAAAGAACTGGTCCTCTAACACAAACAATCCAAAACTTAAAAGCTCTGGAGTGGCTGCAGACAACCTATAATGCATACATGGGAACACAAAACCTCCCATACACACCACCCTGTAACAGATAATAATCCCCAAAACTCCAAAGGGGGGTCCTCTAGAGGGAATCTGTAATTTCCAGGTCTCTCCGCGTGCCCTCTCCTACTGGAAAGGGGACATTCCCATTCCATTGCACATCTTTGATATGAATCACATGCAAATTGCTCCATTTTGTTTTTCTAGAAAAGCATAAAAAACCAGCAGCACCAAGAAGGGAATTAATGCACCAGCTCACAAGTGGGTGCTCTCCTCGGTTGTGTTCAGAGGAGTTGTCAAGAGCTATTAAAATTTAACACAGGCACCAGGCTCATGACTGAGCTCTTACCAGAGCTCTGTGATGAATACCAGTTCCAGTGTATTATGAATCAGTGCTCCTCCTCACACCTGAGATATCAGCGGTATGAGTGTCGAACTCATTCTGCAGGATTTGCCTTTGTTATTTTTACTGCTTACAATTCTGAGCAAGAATCAGTTTAATGTTTCACACAAGATAAATGCTACTCCTGCTTTATTTTTACCTCATCTCCTCTATCACCTATTAGATAACATGATTTTAGAGAAAACAGTTTTATTTTTCATCCACTTTTTAACATATCCTACATTCAACAGTGGTTGCCAACACTGTGCACTCAACCAAGAGAGCTTCATAGCATTACAAATTATTTGCGACATTTGTTCACTTCAACAAGTAACAAGGGTGCTGCTTTTTCATGTGAGAGCTAACGAATCTGACTGGAATCACTTTTGGAAAGGGAGCGATTGCCAATTTGCGGGCTCCAATTTACATCACTGCAAATCGAGTGGGAGACAGCAGCCCTGCACAAACATCCACGCTAGCTCCGAGTACAAGCTATCATTTGGTAGCTTGCAATGCAGCTACCTCTATCGCTGACTGACTCCAAATCATTCAAGTCTGGGACAGAAACAGTACTCGGAGGGTCAACTCAAAGTACCCCGAAGTTGGAAGTCCTCACAAAGCCTGATGAATGAAAGTCGAAGCACGACACTGAACTGCCAGCACGAACGGGCCGACAGCTCCGAGCGCATGCAGCAACACCGAGGCTGGCCCGGCACGATGCCCCCGACATACGGATGCAGCCCACGTTTAGCTGCTCACTGTGTTCTGCCCCTCCTCGCACGGGAGGAGGAACCCGAGCCCCTCGCTCCCCCAGCACAGGCACGGCGAGCACTGCTCCGGGGAGCGGGGCCGGGGCGAGAAGCAGCACAGCCGACGGGCCAGAACCGGGGACGCGCCCGGTGCTTTCCGAGCTCCAGGCCATGTTAGGGGCGCTCGGGTACCCGCCGGACGACCGCACACAGGCCGTGAGGAGCCGCCACCGCCCGGCCGGGCGCTACCGTGAGAGGCGCGGGCCCGCTCCCGCCCGCCAGGAGGGCCCGGCCGCTCCCCACCGCGCGCGCACGCCGCCCCCGGGCGCGGGAGCCCCCAAGGGAAGCGGTGAGGGGACCCGGCCCAGCGCTGCCCCCGCTCCAGCGGCGGCGGGTCGCCCCCCGCCCTGCGAGGAAAGGAGGAAGCCTGGGAGCGGCCCTGCCCCCGCCCGGCCCGGCTGCCAGTCACCGGAAGCAGCGCCCGGCCCGACCCAAATCTGCCCGCGGCGCGGGCCCCGGCCCGAGCACCCCTCGAGCCCCCGCGCACCGCGGCGGGGCGGGCGGCGGTACCTTGATGATCCTGCGGGGCAGCCCGGCCATCTTGTCTCGTCGGGGTGCAGGCTCGCGGGCTCGCCTCCGCTCAGAGCTCGCGCACAACCGGAAGTGGGTCCGCGCCGAGCTTCCGGTGGTACCGCCTTCGGCGCGGCACGACGGGCAATGTAGGCTGCGCTCGTCCGCGTCTTTGCTGCCTCTGCGGGGGTGGGGCAGTCCCTCGGCATGAAGAGCCCCCCCCCCCCGGGATCCCGCTGCCCACAGTGCGGCCGAGGGAGCTCAGTGGGGGGGCCGTGAGGCGGCGGGAGGCTGAGGTGTGCCGCTCCCCGCCTCCTCCCTTCAAGTCTCCAAGCTGAGGTGGGCTGGGGCAGCCAACCTGAGGGCCCGGGGAATCATCTGCTTCCCCCAGTCCTACAGGGTGCTAGCTAGCAGGGTTGCTTATGTATGGTCTCTCCGAGGTACCCGGTCCGTGATGAGCACCGGCTGTGTAGGAAGGCAGGAGAAACCTTTTTGAAACAAATGTGAAACGCGGCTCGGCATGGACAGTATGAAGACCTGGTCGGTGTGTCCTGTGCACTGTAATGGTACAATATGTACCGTTTCCTGATTTTAAGCAGTGTGATTGTTGCTAAACCTATCACAAAAGTACCTTAGAACATCTTTACCTCAGTAATACCTGGTTAGTGAACCTCCTCTCTTTCCAGCAGGAAAATAAGTACTGTAGAAATTAGAGTATTGTTGTCACCCAAGCTTCACAGGATGTTACAACAGCTGTACAGTAATTGTAACATCAAGCACTGTGCATCATTATTGATGGGAAATGAAAGCACAGAAGGATGCAGCTATTTGCCACAGGTTACCAAGCAGGCTAGCAGCACAGCCAGGAGCAGAACCCTGGTATACATATGATTTGCTGGCAAGTGTTTTCTGCCGCTTTAAAAACAAGACTTCAAGATGATCTACATAATTTCCATACACTCCAGTAGAATGGAAAGGTCTCTGACACTGGCAAATCTGGACTACATAATTGCTGAGACACTCCTATCACAGATACCACAAACACGTTCTGTGTGCTAAAATTTAAGCACATATTATTTATCACACAAGGTTTACAATAATACGAAGCATGTGTCAGGAGAGGTGTGCCTTTGTGAGAGGCTGATGTGAAACCAGACTCCACTGTCCATGGTCTCAAAGGCTGGTATGAGAAGCTGAGATGGGATTCCACCTATCTTTTGTCTCAGAGATGGGTGGGAGGAGTTGAGACTCTTCCACTGTCCATTGCCTGAGGGATGAGTGGGAAAGAGCTGAGGTAAGACTCTTCCATCCATTACCTCCAGGACTGGTGTGAAGAATTGCTACCCATTATCCCAAAAACTTCTGCAGACACGTGTGTGCAGACGTGCAGTTGAAGAGGTGGTTGCAAGGCCAGGGAAACTGGTCCATCAGGACCGTGTAATACGTGACATGAAGAACAGAGGTACTCCCTCCAATTCATTATAAAAGGGAGAAAAGGTGATCACCAAGAGGAACATCACCAGGGAGCCATTGCCATGAAGATGACTCCGGAAGGACAACTCCTTGAGAACACTTTCCACAGACGACTACGGACCCTGAGGGACACCCTCCATGAGATATCACCATGAGTGCAACTCCACAAGACTCACTCCACGGGGTACCTCCAAGGGGACTCCAGAAGGACACCTCCATGAGGACACCCACCTCTGATGGCCTTTTGGGGGACACTGTGGTCCAATATCAACTACAAACCCTGCAGAACTCCCACCACTGACGACAACAGACCGCCGGGACACCGCTGGATCCACAATGGTGACTCTCTCACTCTTTCTGCATCCCAAATCCTTTCTTCATTTTCTACCTTTTTTCCAATCTGTCTATCACTATCCCCTTTATTACAATAATTTCCCTTTTGTATAATAATTGTCCTTTCATAATAAACCAACTGATCAATTACGGTACTTGACCTTGTTTGTGTCTTAATTTCACTCTTGGGATCATGAACTGAAACAGGGTCCGGCACTTCAGGTTTTCTGTAATCAGACCCTGACAGCCTTCCTCCTTCACCCTCCCCACAACACTTCCTCAAAATTTACCTACCTTTCCCTCTCTGTCCTTCTCACCAAGCCACTGGAACTGTACATGGCAATTAACAAGTGCAGCACTGTTCGACAGTATTTCACATCCTCGGCTCAAGTTGGACATACCCGTAATTCCAAACTTCACTTAAACCCATGAAAACCCATAATCTCTGTGAACTCTTCTGTATGTCCTTAGCCCTTTAAGCACTCAGTTGCTGTCCCAGCTTTCTGGATGTAGCTTTCTCTGAAGTCAGTCAAGTCAACAATGAAGTGGGACACACCAAGAATGCATTAAACACATTTGCAGGATCGTGTAAAGCATTCCTCAATAGCACCCCCTGTTCTGCAGTGGATATGGGTGAGTTCTTTTGCATATATTAGCATGTGAAATGGTCCGGTTTATATGTGGTCCTTCAGCAAAATCTGGTCTTGCTAGTTACACACAGAACTATTCTTTAATTGTGGATTTTTCTTTTTACTTAATTACAACCTATTGCTACTGCTGAACTAAAACAAACAGATACTTTTGTATACTCAGCACCTTCACAGTGCTTACCATCTAACCTAAAAAGGTGAAATGCTGTTCTCTCGGGAAAAGAAAAAATAAAGCTGTAAGGGAGAGCTGAATGTTAGCCTGTTGTTTTTCCTAGCTTTGCAGACCTTGAAGTATCTATAGCACATCTGGTGCCTTAGAATAAATAATTATGATCTGGATTAATAGGCCTCTCCTCCTGAGGATGCCTAGTGCCTTATTGTTTGTCTGGTGCCAGCAGTCTTGGTGATTTCCTACTTGGTTGCTTTGGGGCTTGCGTTTTGTTGTTTGGGTTTTTTTCATATAGGTGAGATCACGTACACAGAGACATGAAACCTCTTCCAAATTACTATAGCACAGCTACCCATCCCTCTTCAGGAACAAATAGGCTACATGGAAAGTATGCTATTCAAGATGTTCTCTGTACGGGCAAACGTAAATGTCAGACCTGGGTTCGTACAGGGGTTTAGAACCCATGAGGTACTAAAATTGTTCTTGAGCAATCCTTGTTCGATTGGAAGAATTGGGCAGTACTTAGTGCCCTTTTCTAGACCTCAGATCTTCAGAACTGAAGGCTTACTTTGCGGTACATTTTACAAGTTGTAAATACAGTAACACCTTCTGCAATCATTTGTCACTTGGGAGAGCACGAGGTTGGAGTAAATGAATTAACAACGCATAGTGATGACCCAATGCAGTGATGACCTCCATATAAATAACTGCTTACCACTGAGCAGCACACACATGGAGACTCTAAGTGCTTTTGAGGAGGGGATTCCAGTGAACTTGGTTTAGGGAGTCAGGATCAAAAAAAGAACAAGGAGAGAAGGTTGGTGAAAAGAGGAAATGAACATTCATATAATTTTGAAACTTCCTGAATAACTGAAAATATTTGTAATCACATTGCTGTGACTCCCAGTTATAACTAGGAGCCTTCGTTTTGAGTTAGCAGGTATACTGACGTATGTAGAAGGAATGCAAATGTTTAGGTTATATTTATAATTGTTCTCTCCATGTTGTGTAAATTTCACATAATACAATAGGCAGTTTAGGAACCAAGACCAGAAATTGTACCTAAACCAAATGATCCCTCTTCACCATTCTGTCCCATGCTAGTAACCATTGTATGAACTGTATGGCCGTCATCAGACAAAGATGAAGGTACAGCTGGAGAGTTAAAGCAATTTTTTGTGAAAGACACCAATTCCTTGCAAATTTTAAGAAAGTAGGAAGACCAAAAAAAAAAAATAAAGCTGCTGGTAATCCCGCTCGGAGAAAGCCTCCACAACTCAAACACTTCATTAGACATCAAAGACTCTTCACTGGGTCATATCCTCAAGACCAAATTGGAAACCAGTGTATTTTATTATACTGTTTGTAGAAGACTGTCATAAGTGGAAGGAAACATGGACCAAAGGATGCCTTTATGCTAAAAGTGAGTAAAATGCTGCTCAGCTTCTTGAAAGTGCTGGAACTTCTGCTCTGTGAACCTTGCCCTATGTCTGTGAGATGCAACAGGGGAGTGGAGCGCAAACAAATGAATATTGCATTTATTAGTGTTGCCTTCAGTGTCCTCTTTCAGGTGTTGTAGACCAGGAATCTTGCTTCAGTCTGAAGTTGCAGCAAGTCAGTCTGGCAAGCTACTATGTTTTTGTTGCTCAGTAAGTGGCCTGCTACATCCTGGAAGTTGCAGTTTCCATGACGCCTCTCTTTCTGGCTCTTTTTAGGAAGAGGCTTTAGAAGTCCACTTGCTCAGGAGATGGCATTGAACAAAACCGTTGTTTTCTGCTGTCGTATCTACAAAGATATTAGGTTGTTCCCCTTGTCCATTCTAGCTCCTACAAGGACTGCTGCAGAGATCCCCAAGTATCCATATAGATGTTGGAAAAGCCATCAAACTGGCTACTCCAGAATACTGGCTTTAGATTTTGCTTCTTTGTGCTTACTTTCTACCCAGGGATATCTTCCAGACGCTGTAGTAAAAAAGTGTCCTTCTTTTACAGCATTCTCAAATTCCCAAAGGAGGCAAATTAATCCCCTGGATGACAGTTGAAACAAGACACTTGTGTGCCAGGCGGGCTGGTCTCCTCAAGCTAGCCACACTCCCTGGACTTTCTTGCATCTTCCAGGCACTTTCCCAATCCAATGACCTTCCAGTGTTCACCCCTGTCCTTCAGGATTTTCCACTCAGCCCTTATTGCCACAGTAACTGGGTTCTGGACCTCAGCCTGCACCGCCCTGTGTGCATATCCTCCATTTGGCACGTGTCTTGGAAGGCATCCTTGGAGAAGCACCACAGGGGATCCAGCCTAGTGTACTTGTGCTTTCTGCTTCCCTGGGTAGAGCAGTACTTCAACACTCCTGCTCTGGTGTTCGGCGTTGTTGCTAAAATGTATTTATTGCTCTCTGCCAGTTTATTTATTTTGAGCAGTATAGCATGGGGATTCTTTATCCATACAGGTTTTCAAAGCCACATATACCTTTAAATATATGACAATGCCATTAAAAACACCTATAAACACCTTAACATTTTCTTGGAGGGCATGA